CATCGAGCTTATCTAATATTTTGAAATCATTTTTGATTTACTTTATAACATGGAAGACTTCAAGCTTGTATGAAAATATAAGAACCTATTGATCTCTGCGTAATCCTACAAGAACGGAAAGGATTTCTTAACGAAATGTTTATATGAGAAAATAGTTCAATCGAGCTTATTTGACATTAACAGGGTCCGTGAATGACGCATACTTTTTTGGGGGCCAACACGTGTTGACTCAATATATAGCAGTTTTCATTTCGCACATGTTGAGGTAACGATTTCACATAGTTGCTGGCTATCGGAGGAATCGGACGTCACCAAAACCAGACTTTGTTGTTTGATGCCAGAAGAATTAGATGCCACCAAAAACTAAAGGACCGACGAGAGAATCTAGAACAACATCCTCAACCCAAGTCGACTACACTCCCATGATTTTTCTGTGTGTTCTCCTTGCCATCAACACGGATTGGACGTTGCCAGTCAAAAACTCATATTAGAACATTGTCAATCCAATCCTTTACTTTCAGAGAAGTGTATGAATATCCTTTTGATCAAACTGTACCCCGATAATAGTCAATCAACGTCGATTCCAACCTTATGTAAGTTTCTGCATGTTTTTCCATATCTTATAGTCTGCTATCTCTGTATTCATATGTATTTTGCCGCATTAGTATCTGTTTAATTGGTAACTTATCTCCCCATCCCTTGTATTATTTAATTTTCTTTTTCTTACATTCACACTTTGTGTATTCTATAAATAAAATCTTTGTATTATATATTCTCGTGTAGTCTTCTGTTGTTCTGTGTCTGTGTATAGTTCATTTTCTCTTTGCGTTTACTGACGTCCGGAATTGGAGAATTCACCTCCAATGTTCTTTTCTTTATTTTTATATCGAACCTTGGGATCTCTTATTTTTTTTTTCTCGTTGTGTAACTGGCTATCGTAATCCCAACGAAACCCCGGGCATAACAATATATATATATATATATATATATATATATCTCTGTGTGTGTGTGTGTGTGTGTGTGTGTGTGTGTATTTATATATATATTGAAAGAATTAATGGATTTATTTTTAATCCAACATTTTTATTACTTCAAACATTATTATAGTTGATACTTCATATTTGAAATAGACGCCCCATTTTTATTTATTAAACAGTGTTTATTAGATCTATTGGTCTGAGAATTCTAGAAATCCTAGTAAAGAAAATTTGTTCCCTGGTAGGGATTGAACCTGCATCCTTCCTTGTAGGGGAAACAACTGTTTGATTTTTATCATTCAGCCATGAAGAATGTCAGCAAGCAATTTCTTAAGAATTAATAGATTTATTATTCATCTGACATTGCTTTCTTTGTTTTGCATACAAAATTGAGCAGATATGAAGCTTTTTCAAGAAAATAATCTTAACGAGGTGGGGGGATGTGCTTCCCTTTAATGGGGGAAATATTAGAACTTTGCTTGCTGCAACATTCTTAAGACTCAACCCCCCCACCCCTACATAAATAAAAAAGCTATATGTCAAAGATTTGGTAAAGGAGTGAGAGTTGGGTTTGTTGCCTTATTTTCCTTAGATTCATTCCAATTTCAAATGTAAAAAGTCTGTTTATTTTTTTAAATTTCTGAAAGAAAACATTGTCAATTATTCATTTTTTGACAATCATTTTTATTTTTATTTTTTTTTAATTCTAGTTAATCTTTATTGCAACTCTGTGATTGATTACTAATAGCTGTAGAATGACAATGTAGGTGTTGAGATAAAAATAAGAATTTTAAACAGGAATGATGCAAGTGAAATTAAAATCAAAGAAATACAACCTCTTAATTCCCTCATTTAAGAATTCCTTTACAAATTCAACAAATTCATCTTTTCTTCACATATAGATAAACAGGCATATTTTAGTTTATTGTAACTGCATTTCACAGATATTGCATTTTAGTTTATTGTACTGCATTTCACAGATATTGCATTTTTCTTTAACCCCTTGAACCTGAGTGCATACACCATACCCATCAACAGGAAGGTCAGGGTTGAAAGGGTTAATTTTTTTTCTACACATTCAAGATTTGTAGCAATTCCATGCCAAGTAAGTTGATTGGCAGCATCCTTCCACTGCATTTACTCACTTTGTATAAATGTATCACATTTTAGTAACAAAGTACTTTTAGTGAAGTTATGTCCATTGCTGTTTTTAAAGATTTAATGCTAGATTATAATATAGTATAAACATAACTTTTATATGCATTGGTAAAGCAACAAATTTGACTAGTTTTATTGTGATCCTCTTGGACCAAACTTGCAATATCATTGAATTATGCCTGTACAACACAAAGAATATGTAAAGATGCACATGCTAACTTTAAATTTGTTTATATCTGCCTGAGAGAGATTAAGGTGCTTTTCCAATTTTCTTACCTCCACAAGATGGTTATCAGGACCATACAACTCTTTATCAAGTTCAATGACAAGACTTTTAAAGAAAGAAGAGAATTTTCGTTTTACTTTGTTGGAGTCACTTAGTTTAGAACTGGCAGCCTGAAAACATAAAAATATAAGTAGTTAGTTCATTTTTAAATGAAAATTAGTGATTCACAGAATTTATAAACAAAAGCAAATAATTTCATTCAATTAATCATTTCATAATGAGGCCCATTTGATATATATAGCATAAACCATTGTATTAATTTACAATTTATAAAGAACAGGCAGCAATGTTGTATAAATCATTTACATCACAAAAATGAACATGATAGGTACATGACATTTAAGAACCCATTAAAATAAAAAGAATAATTCCAAATTAGTGTTATGAGCAAAACTTGCAGCAAAATTTAACTACAGTGTCTATTTCATTAGTGTAATAAAATTGATCAAAATGAAATTTCACTTCAAAAGGGTAAGCTTATTTTTCAAGTCAACATTTAGTGTTACACATTTTTTTCAAACATTTTATCAACCTTCTTTTTTATTTATTTGATTCATGAAGAAAATTTCTGAGCTTTCAACCTATCTTTCAATTTTAGCAACAACCAAAAATTTCATGATCAGTCTTCTCACCCTTTGTCAACTGTGATGCAGCCTTGCCTTATAATGATCAAAAGGTTCTCTTTTCAGGCCTAATTCTGTCAAAAATGTATGATTCACTATTGGCATTTATTCAAGAGGGAGAAGATTTGTATCTATATGTACTACTATATACACTATTGAACATGCCTATCTTCACTAACAGCAAAACCACATGGTAGAAAATGTTAGTTATTTATCGACCATAATAATATCACGAAGCATGTAAGATTTACTGTTGAAATTATTAGACGTAACCATAAGTTTTATTCTAACAATTTCTTCTCTCACACTTCACCTGTGTAACTCTTCTGGTTTCTTGCTTTCTTGTTAACAATCTTCAAAATTTTAAATGCAATGTTAACTGTCATCTTCTATGTGCTTGAAGACCTTTCTTTTATTGTCTTTACACCACTACTTGTTTTTCATTAGTTTCTTTCACACACAGTTACCCCCTTGGGTCTTAGTGGCTTTATCATCTTGCTTGGTATGAAATGATAAAAAAAAAAATGTGTGTGTCAATTATGCTATCCAAAATTACATTTTCTTAAAATTTATTCTTATTATCAGTGAAGTTAATATAAAAATTAGTAACATTTTTTTTTAAGTTACTATGACTAAATAAATATGACTGCATTTGTATTTCTAGTTACATTATTACTTTAAAAATAAATAAAACCTTGTCACTATGATGTATGTATGTTTCTTTAGCAGCATATCAACTCCTTACGGGTCATTTTTGGAAATTTTTTTTTTTTTTACTATGAAAATGTATTGCTGGTATTTTTTACTATAAAAAAAATGTTTATTCTTTCAGTGTTTTGATCGCAGTTTAGAGGTTAACTATTTGCCCATTGATGGGACCCTAACAGTTGCTACCACCCTAGGTCAGGGTGGACCTGGGAACAACAGCAATTAAGAGGTAGTTCCACACTCCTCAAAACCTCCCAATCAGAGGCCTTGCTGCCAGATGAAGTTTATCATCATACCCAGGAGAGATCACTAAGATGTACTCTTTGATGTTCTTTATCAAAATAAAGAGAAAGGGATAAATTTTCTTATATATGTTTTGAAAGAAATGAAGTAATACTTACATCATCCAAAAGACGGCCTTCTACACGAAGTTCCCAAGAAGATACAGATTCTTCACCATCCTGAAAATATTAAAGTTTTTTTTAATTTTTTTTAATAACATGACAACTTCTTTATTATACATATTTGGTTTTATGCTACTTAATTCAATAACATGTTTAGTTGCTTTACCAGTGGTTTATAGCAGAGTTGCAATCTCAAAAGTGGTTTCTAGTTTTGAGCATCTATTGGAACTAAAGTTCACTCCAGACCTCATGAAAGTCATATATACAATCAGTTCAGACTGTTGTCCGCATCATTGTTGTTATATTCACAACATTGTATGTTCCAGCCTTCTTCAGGTGACTGGAATTCTGAACTGAACATTTCGTCCACTGGGGTAGATTGTTCTAGTTCCATGTGCCGCGCCTATTCCAGATGTTTCACTTATCTTCCTTTAACTCAATTCTCCAAATTTTTGTTCACCATTACAGTAGCCAGGTATTGAACTCACAACTTTTTGGGCCCTTGAGGACACATGGCCCAGTGGATAAAAGTGTTGGTTGGATTCAGTGACTTCACCCAAAGAGTTGGGAATTCAATACCCGGCTACTGCATTGGTGAACAAAAACTGGGAAAGTTGAGTTAAAGGGAGATAACTCAGACATCAGGAATAGGCACAGCACATGGAAATGGAACAATCTACTCTGGTGGACAAAAAGGATTCAGTTCAAAATTTTTCAGCCTTGACAGTGTCCAGAAATGTTTACAAGACCTTATAGGTGACGAATTGTTTTGCACAGACAACATAACAAATTAAAAAAATTTAACTATCACTACTCTATCGCTATTTTCATGAAAAATGTCCTGATGAGTTACATTCCCTCGTTCTAACAGTTCAAACTTTTACAGCTTTGAATTTCCATCTTGGAGAGTTGAGTTACTAGAAGGAATTAACTGATACTGAGATATCCAAAAAGGGCATGGCATGTGGAACTAGAACAATCTATCCGCATGGACTAAATAAAGGGTTCAGTTTGAAATTCCAACATATGTCACTTGAAGATGGTTGGAGCGTATAATGGCTGAAACATTGTGAATACGGCAATAAAGATGAGGACAACAGCCGGAACGATGTAATTAGCTACAACACCTCATCTCAAAAATATAGACAGGAGTAGAGGTTTATCCCTGGTTTCCTCTTTAGGATTTGGTTTCCGGTTCCTTCTAAAACCTGTTACTATACTATGCTATACTTCTAAGGTCTCCAAATGAACTTGGAAATGATATTCACAAATTAAATCTTGACCTCAAGTCTAGAGTTAACCATTATCTTTCCTGCATAGCCCCATGAATTTCACTTGCTCTTTCTTATGCTCATACAACACCACACACTAACCCTTTACTTTGAGTGGCTCTTGGGCCTTGTATTGGGGGAACATTAGTATAAAAAAAAGTCATACTATTTAACCCATAGATGAAGGAAGGAGATGGTTTCATACTTTTCCCAAGGGTATTTATGTATAAGTGAATGTAATGAATTTGGTATTGAACCTGGCTCTCGGATTTCTCATTCTGAGCAGCTATCCATTACACCACCTACACATCTACACAGTGACATTAAAAGCAATTAAACTAAAATAAAAAAAAGAGTCAAGTAAAGATAATCCTCAAAGACATCAAAAATAACATTTTTGAAGAAAACTGCTTTTCTTAATGAGTAAAAAGTAACTTACCTCCCCATCTGGTTTTCCTGGGGAAAAAGTATTTGATATGAAGATCCTCAATTTTCTTTTTTGCTGAAAAAACAAAATTATTCAACTGATACAACCACATTTCTAAGATTATTAAATCAAAATCTAGAAAAGTGCACCAAAAAGAAGATTTTAAAAGAAAGTGGGGGGGGTGTGCTTAATCAGGATAATTAATGGATAAGTTTTGCAGAATTAAAATGAATTTGAACTTAAACCAAATTCTTTTGACTGCAATTTCAGAAGGTTGTCAAGAATCATACCATGCTATTAATTATTTGGTACAAGAGTTTAATGAAAGAACTAAAAAATCATCTTACCTTCATTGGTCTCTTTAAGGCTTCTTGTATATCAAGTCGTTTCCTCATTATAGTAGCATCCAATTTCCGTTCAAAAGCAAGTAAATCCATATAAGCCTGTGATTCTGGAACCAGATCTCTTACCTACAATTTGATAATTTTATTGTATAAGAGTTTGGTGGTAGAGGATAGGATTTCTTTTAAATTTCTGTGTCTGTGAGTAATAAAATTGTGACACTATGGTTGGGATAATCATATAGAAGAGGAAAGTGTGATCTATCTCAATCTCCAGTGTTTGTTTTATGGACAACAGATAGGGATTTTTGAAGTAGAGTTTTATAAGCGGCACTTAACTAAAGAGGAAGGAAAGAACAAATAAGAGAAAATTAAGCATTTGAGGTCAAGTGACAACAAACTGGATACTATTTCCAGTTGCTGGTCTACATTAACAGTCATGCTTGGGATTGATGGAGCCAGTTCTGGTCTGCCCTTGATGGTGGGGACAGAATGTTCCTCGCATAGCTCTGATGCCACCCATTTGTATTGTCACCTATATGTTGGGATGTGTAGATGGCTGGAGAACTGGGGGTGGGTGAAGAGCTGAGCTATTACACTGATATGGCAGAAATCATCCCCGGGTGTCTCCTATCTAACCAACAGCCCAGCTCAAGTAAGCAAAGCAATGAATAAAAACACGGTTTGTGTTAACATTTCTTGACATGGAATCAGTTTCCACCCATTGTTTCCTTGTGAATGTGCAGTGGCCCTTTCCCAGTTTTTAGTGCATACTAATATGAACAAAAATTGAGATGCAATGTGGGGTCAGTGGAAAGCTATGTTTACAAAGTTATTAAGTAGTTAAACTTTAATGATACAAAGAAAGATATGTTGGAAAGATATTTTTTTAAATCAATTTGAAGCAATGGTTTATTTAAAGTAATTGGTATTTTCAAACTGTCATGTTGCAGTTACAGACTGAATATTTCATTGAATGATAAATTTACTCTTGAACTTTGGAAGGCTTACCTTCTGAGGAAGAATTTTATCGGCAATTTTCTTTTTCTTTTTTCTGTGAAAATTAAAAATAATAAATACATTGATATATGATGGACAGGAGTGCAACTTGAAAGTAAGAAAATGAGAGAAGCAATAAAATAGAATATTTTCCAAAAGGACAAAACTATAGCTTTGAAATAAAAGGAAAAAGATGTGTGTAAAAGTTTCCAGCATTACTTTTTGTACAATGTTACAAAAAACTTGTAATTGAACTTATTCAGTTTTTTTATTGTTTATGTAATTGGTCAGCTGTATTATATCACAAGACTAAGAAAAATTCTGAACCAAGGAAAATGTTTCTATATGAACTTAGGGAAAGAAATGTTAAAATAATTGTCTTTCTCTTTTTGCTCAACACAAGAAAAGAAAATCAAGGTAGTCATTGACAATGAAAAATGGATTTATGAAAATGTAAAACAAAATATTGGATGGACCCAATTTCAAGTTAAATGCAATCTAATGAGGGAAGAAAGTTATGCTTGGTAAGATTCAAATTAACCAAAATTGATTTAAAGCAAATAAAACAGAACCACAAAAAGTTGCGTAAATCAGATATTAGAAATGTATATTGGCACACTTGGAAAGAAAACTAACTGCAAGAAATCTAGTATTAATTATTAACTAGAAATTAATGGGAAAATTTCATGGTTTTCCTACTTGAATTTTTTTCTAATGAATCTTAATTTTTAAGTTAATGACTGAATAAGCTAATGGTGAGTTCTTTCACATGATTGCAATAACAATCATAAATATGAAAAAACATATTTGAAAATATTTGACAACTTTTTCTAATTCACTGAAAGAGACAAACACTTGAGAGTGTTATTCACTTCTGTCTTCTCTTTCTTCATTACATTTTCTCAAAAACAAACAAAAAAAAAAAACAAAAAAAAAACATATTTCGTCTGAAAAAAGTATATGAATATTAATGACCCTTCTCAAAACTATGGAAAATAACAAAATATTCATTCTGTATGAAGGGATATTTATGTCTTATCTAGGAATGTGCTCCAGTTATTTCCATTTAACCACTTTTTTTTTTTTTTTTTTTTAAATTTTTTTCAGATTCTTTCTATATCACCTTTGAACATTTTTTTTTCAGGTAGCATATGTTGAAATACCTTTTTAATACTCAAAATCATATATTGCCCATCATTTTCCATTCAGTTGCTCATTACACACCCAACAGCTGAAATCACCAACTGGTGGGTGATATTGCCCAGGTTGGAAAATTCTGATCTAAAATAATCAAAATTTTTTCCTTTCAAAATACTGAAAAAAAATAATAAATAAATAAAAAAAATAATATAGCAGACAAGAAAACCCACGGTTTAGACATCTGTTGTGATGATCTGGGGTCATTACTGGCAGATCTTTTTCTGTCCATTGGTCCTTGCATGCCTGGCGGGGGCATGCCAGGTGACATTCCACTTCGGGTCATACCTGAAATATAAATATTTAATGAAGAAAAATGGGAAAATTTTAACAAGTTTTGTGAAGTAAACAACAATGATAAATATTAAAATTTGTTTTTTTTTCTTCTCTTCAATCTTGACAAATGATATTCCAAACAAAACAAGTTTATAAATCTTTTTCATTGGCAGATGCAACCATATATATATATATATATATATATATATATATATATATATATATATATATACAGACATAAATATTTAAGTAAATGCTATTTATAATAAACAGTATTAACAATATTTACTGGCCTGAATGTCCAAGAAATTTAATAGAAAATAAGCATCCTCTGACAGGAATCAAACCTGTATGCTACACAGAACCATCATATAGCCTGACATGCTATACCATTAAGCTAAAAAGGAAGCATCTGGTTAAAAACAAAAAAACAAGTGGTTAAATGGTATAGCATGTCAGGTTATATGACGGTTCTGTGTAGCATACGGGTTTCATTCCTGTCAGAGGACGCATATTTTCTATTAAATTCCTTAGAGACTCAAACCAGTAAATGTTAATACTGTTTATTATAAATGGCGATTTACTTAAATATTTGTGTATATATAAATAACGTATAACAATAAAATATATTAAAATAATTGTCGGAACTACTCCATTTCATTATATATATATATATATATATATATATATATATATATATATATATATATATTACAGTGGTCGGTTTTCCAAAATGTAGGCCATATTGTATAATTTAAATTTTTAGGGGACAAAGAAAAAATGTTTATTAATAATTAAATAAATAAGTTTTATTTGAAATATCATCATTTTTTTTTTTTGATTCAGCATGATCCAGAAAAAGAAATATGGCAATTATAAATAAATAAACATTGTTACTCTTAAACCAGATATATACAGGGAGTCTCAAAATTTCTGTGCCATAGGAAAAAATTGATCAGATTTTAATATATATCCAATGCCTTTTCAAATTTTATCCACTTTTGAATTAATCATATGAAGTTTGAATTCTTAAAATATCTGATCTGATGATTGCACACTTGGATATGATTCCTTCTTTTAGAGGTTACATTGTTCAATTACACTTTTTGGAGATGATTGATTTTTAGAAAAAGGGAAGAAGGAAACAAAAAAATAAAAAAATGTTAGATTAAAAGATCTCAGCAGCAATTAAACTGGATCACATCTTCTGATTCATCTTCCTGGGAATGTTTCATCTAAAAAAATATCTTCAGCCTAGTAGCACACTTTGTCTTGTTAAAACCACATTAAATAAAAAAAAAGAAAGGTAAATACACTATGGTGCAGGACCTTTGAGACACACTGTATAAACTGAGTAAAAATATATCAAACAGCAAATACACTGACAAAATAATGAATGGAAAAGTGAATTATTCACTTCAATGATTAAGATGTGAACCGAGAGATTTCTGTTTACAGCAATCTCTCAAATTTTATCTAAACTGTTATATTTACATTTTTTTTTTTTTAGTCCTTGTACTAATTTTTGTACATAAAAATTAGAAATATTTTTGTTTTGTTTTTTGAATATTTTAATTCTATATTTCTTTTATATGAAGAGTTTAAAGTTAAAACAAGAATAAATTTGTTTTATAAAAGGAACTGGAAAAATTCTGAAAGTTTTTACAGCTTGGCAGGTTTGGAAATGATAATGTTGGAGAGGGAGGGGTTAAAATGAATTCATTAATAAAAATGTTATAAAATTACAAAAAATATAAAATATTTAGAACAAAAATAGGTTCAGCCATTATATATTGACTGAACATTCAAAACAAATTTTTTAAAAATAATAAAATTATTAACCATTTTCATTTGTTGCTGAGGGGGTGATAAATGTGGGGAGAAGAAAACTAAAGAAATGATAGGAGAAAATCTGGGGAAAAATATTTGAGAAAAGCTGAAAAAGTTTTGTCAAAATTTATATAGTTGCCTTAATGATAATGTTTCAGAAAGAAAAATATCTGTGCACTTTGTATTTTTTCCCTAAAAATAGATACTTCACTTCCCCTGATGGTCGCTTCATGTCGTGGTCAAGGAGCTTGGGTGATACAATGAGAGTGATGTCATCAGGAGTTCTAAACTCTCGATAGGGCCACCCTTAGCGGCAAGGTTGAAGATGAGGACTCAGACTAAGCATGACCAAACACAAAGACCCCCAATGGTGGAACAAGCAGATGATGATTACAACAGATCTCAAATGGTTGAACCGGTGGTTGAAGAAGGCTACTACATATAACAGGCATGCTAGTCTGTTGCAGTTTCATAACTAGATCCTGCATGTTTCATTCCATAAATGCCACAAAGGAAGGTCATGAAATCAAGTGTGTGGGTTACTTCCTGGCCAGTTGAGATCAACCTTAAAAAAATTCCCACCATTGGCACTTTCTTTTACTCTGATTTTCTTACATCACCATAAAGGAAGTGATCAGCAAAGAAGAAATTAAATTCTTGAACACGAGATAAAGTCAACATTATACTTCATTACAATATCTTTGAGTTTAGAAGCTATTCAGAATTATATTTATATTACTACTTGCTTCATTATTCAAAGATTTGTTCAGATAACTGAATTCATTCTTTGTATTGCTGATGCTATATTGTAACGGATTCATTCTACAGCCTTCTTCCAGTATAGAATCTGTAAGCAAAAAGAGAGTGTATCATTTTTTTTTTTTTAAATTATAGAACCAAAGAGCAAACAAACATTATAGCTAATATACAAACTAGTTAGGTTCAATCCTAACAAAGGCAAGATACATAGACAATAACAACTAAACCTATAACTAATGTGATTCTAATTTGTACACCAGGTTATTTTCTCAATTCACTTGCTGCCAGGCAAAGAAACATTATGGTAACAATATCAGCAATACAATAATGAGTGCAATTCTCTCAAAAAATCTTAGAATCTTATAAGAAACGTTTCTCTATTGTTGGCAATACTCTTTTACTTGAATAGGTGATCTTCAATCAAAATCATTCATTTAATGAAAGTAATGATAAGAACATGAACAAAAAGAAAATGATTTCTGAAAGGAAAAATACTAAATACCAGGGAAAAGCAACCACTAAATAAAAAAGAGTTTAGAAAATTATGATCACACAAATTGAGTAAGTATTCAAGATAAGACTTCAAATGAAAGACTAAGGTTTTTTAGGGAATTAATTTAATACAAGAACTCAGCTTTTCTTCCTAATGGTTTAATTAAATTTATTTATTGAAGTATAGTATTTTAGTTAAAATCCTACAGGGAAAAGTGTCTAAAAAAAAAAAAAAAAAAAGAAGTAAAAATAAGAAAAAAACTATATTTAAATCAAATTTTGCAAGGTTCTTCACAAATTTAAAATAAATGAAAAAAAAAAAAAAAAATTGACTGAATAAAGAAAAAATAATGCCTTCTTATATCTAGCAGCAATAATTTTCTTGAAAAAATAAAAATAAATAAAACAATATATACGAGTTGGGTGCTGAAAAGCTCACCACCAGACCAAGAAGAGATTAACCAGATCTCCAAATTCTGATTGGTCATTTTAGTCAGATTTTAAGTGGATCAAGCTGAGAATATTTCAGCATCCCCTTGTCCCAATTGACTTCCCAAAATCAGTATTTCAATGACCAAACATGTGAATACTGACTTTAGGAAGTTGATCAAGCCAAGAACTTTCAAGCACTCTCTTGTACACACACACACATACACACAACAAAACAAAATGAAGAAAAAAAAAAAAAAAAAAAATTAGCTGACTGTTCATACCGTTCACATTGGAGTGAGATTGGCGGGATTGCAGGTTCTCTGGAAAAAGCAGCCATAATTATAAAATCGAATTCAAGTCAAAAGTTGTCAATGTAAGGAGGCAGCAAAATTGATGGAGACAGTTGTAGAGAAGATGAACACATACATCAAAAAACTAAGTCCAACAAAAGTCTTTTCACCATTTATGTTGAGATATATATATATATATATATATATATATATATATATATATATATATATATATTCACATTTATTGTTACAACAGTTACCAATTTAGTTTTGAAAATTTTAGTTGAAACATTTAACACTGGATTTAGCAAAAGTGAAACAAAGTTACTAGAGAAACACACAATTTTTATTTGCCTTGTCAGGTGATTTTTTTTTTTTTTTGAGTGTTGCTTTAAAATCAGCATTCTTATATCTATACTCTAGTAAATAGTTATCCAAGGAACGCAACTGAATTTAAACTTAGAAAAAAAAAAACTGATAACAAACAGAAATATAAAAGAAATAAATCATCAGAAGTTGGTAACAAAAATCGATTGATATTTAAATATTTAATAGATTTATTGGTTCATCTTTCAATGCAATAAATTCCGATATATCTACAATATTTTCATAATGGAATTGTACTACTTTCATGGTTCATCCTTTGCATTAAATTCTTCTTATATAAATGAAAAATTAAGAAAATCAAATTTGAACAAACCTTTAATGATAAATAAAAATGACCGAGACAGGGAACCAATTAAATTCAGTTGTTTAGCTAATAACTAATTTTTGTGTCATGTTTGAATGCCATTAGCTGATCTCAAATATTGTTTAGACCAGTTCTTCATAGCCTTGATTTTGTTAACACAATATTTTGGTTGATCTATTCTTCAGTGCTTGTCAGGTCTGTATTCTATTATTCCCATGGGGGGAGACACAGAAAACAGCATGGCAACAGTAACAGTAGTTACTACTATACCAAGTGGACCAATACATTTCAGCAGCCATCAGTAACTGGGTTGATCAACGAAAATGACATTGTGAGAACAACATTAAGCATAGAAGAAAGGATTCAATTGTTTTAACAATATTTGGAATGTTAAGGATGTTTTCTGTTACTTAATGTCATCCAATGTACTTCCTTTAGTGTCCACTGAAACAAAGTTATACTTATGTGCATGTGAACATAGGAATCAACACTGCATGGTCACTATCAGTTTTCACAATTCAATGCTATCATCACACCAACTTGGTCTGAATATCACATTGAAGTATAAAAATGACAGTCACCATTCAGTGTTGATTCCTATGTCCACACTGCCTATATCTATAAACACTTTTTCCTTGATACTGATCACTATTTCACAGTAAATATAGCAAATTTTAAACAATATATGTGTATGTATATGATACATGCTCCAAAAATAATGCCACCCACCTACACTCATGAAAACTAAAACAGATATAGAAAGCACAACAACACCCCGGCTGGATAGAGAAAGCTTTCAGCTACAAAATACTATCCCTCCCCATATAGTCAAGGCCATTGACAATACATTTTTGCCATGTTCATAAAAAGCTGTAGTAGGAATTCTGAAAAGCTCTATCCACTAGTTAATTGTGCTCAAATTCACTGTTTGATTTTCGTAAATGTTCAAACATCAAGGGATGCATTTTTTTCTGTCTAGAGGAATTCAATGACATGACTGCTTTGTACACATCACGCCAGATCCCATTTTGCTGTTCAGCTGCAAGATAAAATGATGGGTTATTGGCGGGAAGGTGCAACTGTTATTGCCATACTGCCAACATAACAGGAGGTATTACTTTTGGAGCAACCCTTGTAACTCCCTTTGCTATATAAACTAGTTACCTCACAATTCCAGAATAGAATATAACATTAAAAGAGGCAGGAAGACTAATGATGCTTCAAAATGACTGAATAGGTATGAAAAAATACTCTGTAAAAAGCAATCAATAACCTCAGTTTATTTTTCTTAGAAAGACAATCTAGTAGAAGTTAACTATAAGTTGTAGCAAAAACATCAATACAATTAAATTTTACTTTTTTTTTTAAGGTATATACAAGATATAAAGTTATTTTTAAAAATTAATAAACATTAAAAATATAAGTTATATCATTTGAATAATTTTCTTTTTACATTACATTGTAATTTTACTAAACCGATGAATGATCAATGTTATAAAAATTTTGAAAAAAAAAACACTAACAAAAAATTAGTATTAAAGAAAACAATACTATGTCAATAGGCAGGCTATTGACATAAAAAGCAGCTGTCACAATGCAAGTAAGTGACTACAAGGCAGTTGATAGAATACTACTTGATCAGCAGATAAGAATTTGAGATTCAAATGCAAAGAAAAGTTTGTCATTATTGGCAAGTGGCCATTAATCATTAGTCTGGTTAAAAGATGATTACTCATGCATAAAGAGGAAAACATGGTTCTGAGGGGATTTTAAACACTGTGAACAGATTAACTCTGTAGAATGAAATCTTAAAATAACTCTAGATTCAATTTATGTTACTAATGTTATTTTCAATGGTTTCATATTAACAATGACAATTTGTCTTCATGTTCAATAATTGTAGAACATTCAGAAATTTATTCAGACGATTAGTTTCAAATCTATCCCTTTACTTTCATCTAGTGAAATTCTATTTTTAGCTAAATATGGTGGATTTAATTGCCTGTTAGATTTGAACTATGTAATAAACCAACCACAAAAATCAGGATTAGAAACAATAAATAAGATGCACCAAATCAGATCAGATACTCATTCTACAAAAATGTATTAACTTCAACTTATTAAGTGAAACATTATCAACTATCTTTCTACTAGTAATGTTCATTTTAATTTCAATTGGCCTTATGTTGACAGTCAGAAATCAGTTAGGAAATCTGACTTCAAATGCCAACTTTATAATAGCCAACTTAGGCAATAAGTATTCTTTCCATAAAATTGTTTTTAGTTGCCAGTACAACTTTCATTCTTGCCTTAGATGCAAGGTATCAGTTATTTACATTAAAAGCAATAATAATAAAAAAAAAAACAAAAAACAACTTGTTGTAGCCCTGATGACAAAACCACAAAGAGGAAATAACTCGTGGTTGACATCATAATAAAAATTGCCAACCACAAGTTATTGTGTGGTTGGCAGTCAATGTGTCTTTCTACACTCATCCTACAGATGTCAACAGCACAAATTGGAAATATTCTTTATAATCCAACTACTGTAGAATGAGAAGTTTCAAAAGAAAGGAAGTTGAAAAATAATAATTAAAAGAATGTGGTATAGACTGAAATGTGACAAGAATTATTGTTTATATTCAACCAAGAAATGATGAACCACGCTTTTAAAATTAATTTTAGATGATAAAATTTACTTGCAGAGATTTGCGCTTTATTTATACTTTTAAGTAAAAGTAAAGGATTCTTGTTGATCTTTTAATTTTCTAAGATAAACCTTTTGTAATTTGTATAAAGTCTGAAGAAAAATTAAAAACAAAGATGTTAAAGTAAAAAAGAAAAAAAAGAAGAAAAATAAGTACTTTAATAGAAAGGCATTTGCACAACGTAATAGTCTGCATCATTTGAAGATTAAAAATTTTATGTATAAAAGGCACCAAGAATAAAAGCTCATTATTCAGATCCAGAGCCTTCTTGGAGGAACCCCTTCCTGATTGACCATGTCTTCAGTGGTATAGCCATACTCACCATGTTTGGCCAATTGCAGGTTGGTGAGGTTATTTAATCCATAGATGGAAGTTTTGAAATCAGAAATGTCTTTCTCCTAGCCCAGTTGGCACCCAAGGCTATAGAATCTAGTTTGTCTGCTATTTACCCATATAATTTATATATAAAAAACACAGTAGCATATTATATAATGATGGGTAAATGTTTGCTGTTTATTTTTTTAATGCTACACCTCTCCGCAGATAACTTTTCTTTATTATCTCTGAATTGCTGATTTCTTGGGAAAGACAGTGGAGTGGTTTCCCTATTGCCATTTCCACACTTGGATTTCAGAGTTTTCTTTCTCTTAGACTTGTTACCAGTCAAGGCTAAAGAGCTCAATTTACCCTGCTATTTAACCCATAGCCAAGAAGAGGAAAATGAATTTGTACAAATGTGAACACAATAGACCAAGCATTTGAACTCTGCTCAAAAATTCCATTTTCTGCATTGAGAGCTCGGATGCTATGTTAAACATGATAAATAAAACTATAGTTATTCAATGTGAATAAAATGTTATTTAGTTTACTATACAGGAAGTATTAAATGCAGATAAGAAAAATACAAAGTTTTTGATATTATATAATTACAATACAAATGAAAAATTATTTAAATATTGCTGTCATTTTTTGATAGCACAGGTAAACAAATAAAAGAAAAAGAAATAATAATTAATTAGTTTATCTTAATTTTGATGCAGATGCTTTTTGTAGAACTTAAGTGTCTGTGGATAAAGCAACATTTTAACTTATCACAAAAAGGGGCTTTAATTTTGACCTTTTCCAAATCTGATGTATTGAAGATACTTTGTACTTTACCACCAACTTTCCAAATTTTGTTTTTCCTTAAATGAACCTCTTTTTAGCATACACAATATTTTGGCTGAGGCATTCTTCAGCCCTAATCAAGTGTGCATTCTCTTACTTGAGGTGAAAAATCTGATTTCTTCAGAAAATGGCAAAAAAAAAAAAAAAAAAAAAAAAGAAAGAAAGATGGAGTTGTTAATGTATAGACTGAAATGTGACAAGAATTATTGTTTATATTCAACCAAGAGATGATGAACCATGCTTTTAAAATTAATTTTAGATGATAAAATTTACTTGCAGAGATTTGCGCTTTATTTATACTTGATATCAGTCCTTTTAATAACACCAGGTATATAAATACAACAACACTGCCATCCATGTATCCAGGTGATTCCAAACTATATATGGGAAGAGAGAAGGTGGTTGTCCACACTTTTGACAAGTGATAAACATTAAGCAAAATTTGAACGGTTAATGATTCTTCT